CCCACGAACCGCAGCGATGGCGGGCTTCGAGCACCTCTCTGAACCATCAATCACCCATACAATGATACACCCACGCAGACGGATGTGCACGCCACGCACACTCGGTGTGGTGTGGTGTGGTGTGCGTGTGCGCACCTATAGACGACACGCACTCCTGCAGGTGCTCGGCAAAGGCTTTCAGCTTAAAGGCCCTCTCACCTTCTTCCTCCTGCTGGGCCATGTGTGACCATTGCGAACGTCAATGACGAACAAACGGACCGATACGGGAGCAACAAGGCACGCGTGTTCGTCTATGGGTCGTCCCACACGCCCTTGGATGCCCCGTTGTGTTGGTCGTGGCGGGAGTGGGCACGTCGCTGAGAGGCCTCCTGAGTGAGGCACACATAGAGGGAGGGAAGGTGGAGCATTCATTCAGAGTTGGAAGGGGTGGAGAGGGATGAGGGCTCAGCTCACTCACCGCTTCTTTCGGCGTGTTTGATGTCTCAGCGGATACTGCGGTATCATGCTGGTCGTTGCCCACGCCGAGGATCGACTTGTGGTGGCTGGTGGCCTCGCGGTTGTTGGTGGCGCCCACGGGCGTGGTGCCTGCCGGCAACCTCCTGAAGCAACCGCGTCACTTACAGTCGATTCCCTGACAGCATACCACAGATACAACCAAGCAGTGAGTGGTGAACAGTGCATAGAACAGGCCTGCTGGCTGGCTCGTGGCTCATGCGTATCGAGGTGAAGAGTGGCCCTCGTCCGCGATCTGCAGAAGCAAAACACGCAGGCTGTACGCAGATTGGAGTGGTTCATTGTGTTTGCCTACAGGATGGCGCGGCAGCATGACGCATCGGTCAGCAGATAGGTCATCGGGACTCATCCAAACACGCGACTAGACCCTTGACCCTACAAACCCTATTACAAACCCTGTTTTGTCTTCTGTCTTCTCCTTCCCTTCCTTTCCTTTCCTCCCGGGATCTTCCCTCCTTGCCGCTTTCTCTCGCAGAAGGACCTTCTCATGGGCGCCAAGCGAGGGTCATTCACGCTGCCAGGCAATCACCTGTCAATCAATGGCTTTTTGTTGGGCGTCGGCCTTCTCGCGTGGGCGCTGATCTCTGACGGTGGCTGGACACGTAAGCATATGACAAGCCACAAACGACAACCAGGCTCCAAGTTAATGGAAAGCGGCTTGGTGTGCAGGCGTCGCCACTCTTCTCGTGCTCGGCCTCTCGGCGGCGTACCTGCTCTTCCGACTCGTCGGTACGACACCCACGCCCACACGCAGATCTCTGGATGTATCTCAATGGTCTCACTGTCTGCCGTCAGGTCTCCCATCGCCCCGCCATCTCACCCGCTTATGGCGCTTCAGCAACGGTGACTGCCTCACTGTGCGCAAGGACCACGAAATGGCCGTGGCGAGGAAGGCCCCCAAGTACGTCACCCCGGCGGCCTTCCGCCAGGCCGTGCAGGATGGCAAAAAGTGGACGATCATCAACGGCAGCGTGTATGACCTCGCGGGACTCATCGAGGACGGCAAACACCCCGGTGGCGACTTCCTCGCTGACTTCGTCGGTAAGTGGAGAGTGAGGCAGGCAGGGAGGGAGTGAGGGAGGGACACTTGAATCACGTGTTCAAACAAGCGTGCACAACGTGGTTGCAGGCATCGACTCTTCGCTAACGTTCTACACGGCGCATGTCAAGCAGGAGAGTGTATGGCGGCGGCTCCGTGTCAGCTGGATGGGCTACCTCGTCCCCGACGTCGGTGAGGACACATCGGACCTCATGTGCAGCCGCGACAAGGCCATGCACAGCCTCATCGACGAGTTTGCCGCGGAGGACCTCTTCGCTTACCCGCTGCGCTTCTGGCTGTGGGACATGTCGGGCCCGCTACTGGTGCTCTGCTCCTTCCTGGCCGCCCATTGGTGCATCCAGGGCCGGGTCGCCCCCTCATCCCTCAACTGGCCGGTGTATGTGGCGAGCATTCTTGCGGGGTCGCTGGGCTACCTGCTCGTGCAGTACCTCTGCCACGACGCCGGCCATCAGTCCGTCTTCGTCACCAAAGAGAGAGCCAGAAGGTGAGGCGAGAGATTGTACAGCGGGACAGCACACCACACCTGATCCATGATTGGTCGTGCAGGTTCTGCAAGTGGTTTGCCGTGATATCCGGCGGCGTCGACTGGTCTGAGGGTGCTGTAGTGCATGATGTGCACCATGCGTTCCCACACGTTCTTGGCCGCGACAAGTCGCTCGACACGACGCCGTTGATCTACTGGCATCCCGCCCAGCTGGTGGACGCCTCCCTCGACACCCTATCCCGCGCCCGCGGCTTTGCCGCTGCCACAGCCGGCTGCTTGTGGTTCTGCGTCATCCTCTGGCTGTACTGCCCGCTGGAGGTGGCCAGATCGCTGGTCGAGGCCGCTAGACGGAAGGGCGGCGCCCTCTGCTTCGGCACCATCGTGCTCCGGCTGCTGGCTCCGTTCGGCCTTATGGTCCATTTCGGCGCGTCGGTGCACTACGCGCTGTGGCCGATGATGGTTCAGGAGGTGGGGTTCGTGCTGCTGGCCCTGTGTGCGTCGCTCAACCACTTTGCCTTCGACGCCATCACCGTCCAAGAGTTCCAGGCCGTCACCCACCAGACAGCGGCGCCCGAGCATGCGATCCAGATGCAGGGCTTCGTGGCCCACCAGGCGGGCATCACACAGAACCACAACATCGTCGCGCTGGAGCATGGCTTGCATGGCTTGGGCGGCTTGGGTGCCGGGGCGGAAGGCAAGGCGCCGTCGGGAATTCTCATGCTGGCGCTGGTGGGGTCCTACGACGCGGTCTTATCTTTCTGGACGGGCCACTTCAACTACCACATCGAGCACCACCTCATGCCGTACATGCCCCGGCGCAACTTGCCCAAGGCCGCGGCGAGGTGCCGGGCCCTCTGCGGCGAGCAGCTGTACGCTTCCGCCAGCCACGCAGAGGGCCTCGCGATGTTCGTCAACAAGCTCAGCAGACCCTTCTAGTTGAGTAGCGAGGGAGAGAGAGGGAGAACTGATCTATCCACGTATTTGCGCGCGTGCGTTTCTCTCTGTACGTGTGTGAGTGTATGTGTGTACCTTTCTTTGTCTGCATCGATGGATTGATTGATGGATGCAACGGTGATGTGTGGTGAGTATGTGATTCGTGTATTGCGGCGGGCCTGTTTTTCGGCCACCCAACGGGCTTTTGGGTCTCTAAGGGAGGGAGGGAGGGAGAAAGAACTGATCTATCTACCCGTGTGTGCGTGTACGCTTATCTCTGTGTGTAAGAATGTGCATGCCTTCACCTTTGCCTTGACCTACCGTGGCGAGCCGTTTTCTCGCCATTTGGCGCTCAGTTGGCTTACAGAGTCGGCCTCACTGCGCTTTTCGCAAGTGTCTGCAAAGTAGGTGGATACACTGCATGGAATGAGTGGACGTGTGCAGCAGATGGATGCTAAATATGCTTGTGCGCTGACAAGGATGCGCCGCCCTGGTCGCTGCGGGTGTCTTGCAGTGCTGCTAGCCTCGCCCGAATGAATGCCCTGTGTGTTCATGAGGACGCCGAATGAATGAATGAACAAGGATGAACACGACACCAAAGTGTGACTACTCTTGTTGGCTTCTTTTCCTGTTCGGGTCGCTGTGTGTAGCTCTGTACCGCTGTGATACTTCGTGAGCCACTGTGCGGCCTGTGCCTGTTCTCATTCCTCTTCTCGCCAGCCCATCCAATGTCACAAGACCATAGAAGACCAGCAACACACTGTCCTTCATGATGACGGCAGCCAACCCACCAGGCCAAAATAATCCAGATCATGAACTTCATAGAGACAGACAAGAGCGGTGCCGCACCACCCACACCATACGACAGCCATGACAACATACGTGCGAACCGCCCACGCCGTGCACGTCTCTCTCTGGATCAATTGGCCTCCGTCGGCTTCGGCGGCCTGCGCAGCTCGCCAGACACAGGACCTGCAAACAGACAGACAGATGCACACAGACACATTTTAAGAGGTAAACGAACCCTACCCTTTGGTGGCCCCTTCGGCTGCGCGTCACCCTTCTTCTCTCCCGAATCAGCGGCATTGTGGGTCTTGGCGAAGGACTGGCTGTCCCGCCACTCATCGAAGCCCGCCTCCGACTGCCACTCGGTGAACGAAGTGTGCGTCACCTCGACCACATCCGCTGCTGCTGTGGATGCACGCCGGATGGGGGCTCTTTGATGGCACGCCCATGGCGGGCGGGAGAGGCAGCCGACGGAGAAGCATGAACTTGCGAAACGCTGGGAATGACGGGAGGTTGCGGTCACGGGTCTGCATACAAAGTACCAATGGTCTGCAATGGGGACATGGACAAGTGCATTCCGCACTCGTGTCGATCTGCACGCACTCTCCATCTCTCCTCAAAGGGATATTGGCTGCCCGCGGCCACAGCAAACCTGTACACCAGAACCTGACACCGTCAGCCAATTGGCACGCCCGTGTGGACCTGTTCGTGGCGATGAAGGCACCTGAGCTTGTCGGCCTCCCTTTTGCTCGACAAGACCTACAAATACAGACATACGGAGTCGTCCAGCCCGAGCCGCCCCTTCTTTCCTTTGTGACGGGCGGCCACGTGGCTGTCTGTAGAAAACGCCCATTCGTCCTCCTTCCTCCTTCGTTCCTCCTCTCTGCCTGGCTATCGCCTTCTTCTCAATAGCATTGACAGCGCACTTACCCACACTCGATCTCTCACACTCGCCAGGGACGATATGTTAGTTACATACCCTCACACCCATACACACACACACCCATACACACACACACGACACACATTGCGTCAAGGTCCATCCGGTCCCTCCTGTCCCTCCCTCCCTCCCTTCCTCCCTCTATGGAACATTCTTATCAATTGCATACACAGCCTCTCATCAAGCAGCAGCAGCAAAAGCAGCAGCAGCAGCCAACAGACGACATATGTAGCGATCAGCACGTCACACGCCGCACCGAACGGCACACCAGCGTCGTGTGCCTGCGCGGCCGGCGCGTGTGCTTTGCACCGCACACACAGGACATACAGAAATCTACACCCCCTCTCTCTATATCTATTTCTCTCTCCCTCTCGCCCCAGTGAGTGAGTGAGTGAGTGAGTATGTGTGGTGTGCGTGGTCCATCTACGCGGTGGCCTCGGTGCCGCTGACGTCCTCCTTCTCCTCGCCCCCCTCTCCCTCCGCTGCCGCCGCCACGGCGGCAGCCTGCTTGTGTGCCAGCGTCGCTTGGTGCTCCTCAACGTCAGTCGTCGACGCGTCCGCACTCCTCTCGCTACCGCCCACAGGGCCCTGGGTGGCCTCGGCCTTGCCCGACGAAGGGGAGGCCGATGGCGTGACCTCCTTGACGGCGACGACGACCTGCCCCTCCCAAGGCCCCTTGCCCTCCCCCTCCCCCGCCCCCTTGTCCTGCCCTTGCTCACCGCAGCCGCCCGCCGCACACTCGGCCTTGATCGGGGCGGCGTTGGCCGTCACCACTGGTGCCGGTGGGGGTGGGGATGGTGTGGTGGTGTCGACCTTTCTGTGCTGGTTGCCGCCCTGTGTGGTGTTGCTCGGCTCCTCTGGCTTGGTGTTGGTGGTGGGGGTGGGGCTGGTGTCCTTCGGTGCGATGGCCTCCTGCTGGTGGTGGTGGTGGTGGCGGTTCTCGTCCTGCTCGTCATCGTCGGGTCCGTCGTCTTGCAGCACCGCCGCAGTGCTGTCCGTCTCGCCCTTGTGGTGGTGCCTCTCGCTGGCCCGCCTGTCGGCGGCAGGGAGTGGCGCATCCTGCTCTGTGGACAGCGCAGGGGCCGGTGCGGGTGTGGGTGCCGACTCCTTCTTGTCGTCCTGCTGTGTGTGCGTGGTGCCGTCCTCCTTGGTGGTGTTGTTCTCTGTGGTGAGTTGCGGTGCCTCAGTGTCCTGGTTGTTGTCCTCTTCTTCCCTGGGTGCGGGGAAAGGGGGCTCGGTGACGGGCGGGGAGATGTCCCACTTGGTCTGGGAGGCCGCAAGGGGGCTCAGCAGCTCGGCCACCGACGCCCTGTCCTCCTCCTGCTGCTCCTCCTTGCGGATCGTGAACGACACACCCGTGTAGTCCTCAACTGAGAGTTGAGACACCACCACACACACGCAGACAGACAGACAGACAGACAGACAGACACGGACAATTGCATGGGCGCCTCCGTGTTTTGCCGCATGTGTCTGTGTGTGTGCGTACTTACCCCAGTAGTACCACTGCGTTTCCGCCCTGAGTTTGTAGAATTTCTCGCTGGGGCGTGTCCGCACCCATGAACACGCGCTTCGACACCCAGTGCGTCGGCTGGTGGTGATCACACACACAACAGACAACACAATGCACACAATGGACATGCCCGAGGTCTGATCTGATCTGCCTTCCTCTCGCTCCCTCCCTCCCGCTCGTCTGTCTGCTTTGCTCACCGCTGGAGAATCCCCACGTCATGGCTGCCGCCGGCTCACACGACCCAACACGCCGCTGTCCACACAAACGCCACGCTACACTCGCTGCTCTACGCTGCTGGCTACAGAAAACCCGATACGGGAGTGGCGATAGGCAGGGCCGCCACAGACGCTCAACTCGCAGAGGACACGGCGGACAGGCGGCGTGAGATGGCAAAATCGCCAGTCTCCAGAAGGCCTCTGGCCGAGGTTTGACGAGACACCTGTCCCTAAGCCCGGCGCCTACCTTTCGGCGCTACCGACATCTTCTCTGTCCACAGCACACACCAAATAGGCAGCATGCACACGCATAAAGCATGCACAAGGCCTGTCTACCCACCCATCCCTATGGTCCACCACGAAAGAAAGGCACTGGCACCGGCCGACACAGATGACAACAGAGGGCACTGTGTCAGTCAGGCTTGGCGCCTCATCACGCCTAGCGGAACTGACTGCCTTATGGAACGTTCACGAACACTTCCCCTGGCTACATACACAAGAACGGGCGATATCGCCCGACAGCAAGAAGCCCTGGCAAGTGCACAGAAGCCAGAGAAAGCAAGCAAAAGAATGAAGCCCACTGAGCCATCAACAGGAAGAAACAACCAATCACATGGACACACCACCATGTACACGGGGACCCATGTGGCCGCGCGAATCACGGTGCGAGCTTTGTCCGCGAATTGGGCTAGAGCCAATTCGCGAATTGGGCGGCCGCGAGATCCCCCCCTTATAGCTAGCCTTTAACAAATGCATGTACATGCTGCTAGTTTAGTGCGTGAGACAACAGGATCCCTCCGGGGTTACAGACACGAGTCTCATTAAACACAATAACCAACCAACCAATGCTGTGACAGGGCGAGTGCGGGAAATGTGTATGGGAAGATGCAGCCAGAGGAGCTCCAGGAGATATGTAAGTATTGCGTTCTCGTTCGGGTCGCACGAAACGAAGCGCAGAAAGCTTGCATCTCTTCCTTGGGTCACGATACTCTTCTCCTTTTGTGACGACGAAGAACATGAGACACTCCAGTCACAAACATTGCCAGGAGGCTGGTATATGAGGTAGAACACCGGTCAGATTGTACACAGCCGTAAGAACACAACAAAGACGAAACACGATCGACACCTAAGACGAAACACGATCGACACCTTTACGCCGATGTAACAAGACGTCTGTCCGAGAGGCCTTATGCCGCGGCAAGAAAAGGCAGGCGGGAAGGCAAAACTCGGCACGTCGTTCCCACTTGGACAGGGCAGCAGGCACCTGACCGAACACAAACAAGAGGGAGTAGAAGTCATTCGAAGTGTTTCGGCCGAACTCCTTATTCCTCCTTCACCTTGTGTCTACATCGAGCCGCTCAAATCGACCAGCCGCAGGGCATCCACGTCCACACCAATCCCCCTTGCAGACCGCCTCAGGAGCTCTCCGGTCGCTGGGGCGCTGCGGAGCCACCCCTCGGCCCCCTCCACATCTGCCTCGGTCGTGCCCAGCACCACATACCCACTCGCCGACGCCGCACTCACACGCACATAGGCGGCGAAAGCATTATCACGACGGGCGCCCGACAAGACAATGACGCGCTGGTGCTTGGAGCCGTCAGGGGACGCGCAGTCGACGTGCGCGATGTCGTCCTGGATGGGTGATGTGGCAAGAGTCCGGTAGAGGTCCATCACGGGGCCTGGGTGGGACACCGTGCTGGCCGCCAGCGACCGGGTGGCTTGGTGGGCGCATGTCGCGACGAGCCACACGACACAGGCCGAGAAGGATGGGAACAGCTGTCCGTCCGCTGTGCTGACAACCGGATCGTTGCTGTCGTATTGCTGCCTGTAAGGATGGTCGACATCGATGTCGCCCAGAGGCACGACGCGGACACGCTGAGGGCCAACGAGAAGCTGCCCATCCTCAGCCCCAACTGTCAGGGCCATGCCGACCAGCCGGTCACCGAATGTGGCGTACTGCGCGATGGCTCGCGGCGTCTTGTGGTAGGCTCTCCTGCTGCTGTGCTGCTGGGTGGCCCGCGGGCAGTGTGAGGGGCAGCCGATCAGCAACAGCAGCAGCCAGATGGATGGCCTCGCCATCTGCCGAGGGTACCTCGGCCATCCATCACCACATAGAGCGCCCGTGACACATAGCCGAAGTGTGTCAGGCCGTTGGGCATTTCGGCAG